GCAGTGATCGAGCTTAAAATAAAGTGCTGGAAACTGACGAAGGACTACATCGATGGCTCAGCTCTTTCTTGCCAATCCAGCCCAAAGCAAGATAAAAATAAAACACACACCGTCTCCTTCACAATATTTTGTTCAAAACGTACAAAACGGTAAAAGCACACGTTTATATCTCATTCACAGTCAACTGTAATGGCATGAGCAACATGTTTTTGGTGGGGTTGTTGTGGTAATTCCATCACAAACAGAGACATGCTCATGTGGGCAGGCCAGGACGTGCTTGTTGCAGCTAACGCAACAGTCGTGCTTCTGCTCCCCGAAGAAAATCCGACCTTCGATTTCCTTCGACGGAGGAAGCGAAGGAGCAGAGAGCCTGCTGCAAACTGAACATGATAACCAAGCAGAAAAAACTTCAGCAGGCTAAACCTGGTCTGTCCAGCAGGAACGCTCTCATATCACCGAGGTCGAGCTATGTAGGGCGAGTTCCTCACAACACGCGTGCGCACGCACGCACGCACACAAACAAACACGTTGTGCAATAGTTATGTTGACGGCTGTTCTCTTGGACTTTTTTTAATCTTTTGAATATCGGTCACAGATTTTTCTGCTTTGCCTGTCATCTGTACACAAAGGACACGTGGAAAAAGACGTCTGCAACAAAACGAAAAAAAATTTAAAGTTTAAAAATAACAGGAACAGGGAATCAGGCAGACGAATTAACATTTTAGACAAAGTAGTAAAACAATATGCAAGACATTTTAAAGCTTTTACTTTCTCAATCAACCAAAAGCTGCATGAATGAATGAAAACACATTAATTTTGTCAATTCATATAAATCTATTGACGTTTTCAACTTTAAAATTATAATAAATCCACTTTAATGTATATTTATGGGCTCTTAGCGTTTTCTTTTCGACCACTTTTGGACACTATGGAAACTCTTCACCACCAGTGGTGTCAGCGACGTTAGGTGATTTAAATATTTGACTCCGTTCTTTTATGGTTTTGGTTTAATTATTATTTTACTACTCATCAATGTCTACACAGTTTATAACGTTCAGAATTTTAAAAGCAAATTGTTGATGTAGTTTGTGAATTTGTACATGCACAACATTAAATATGTTCTATGCTAAATGAGCTTTTATCAGTAAAGACAGTGAAATGTTTTAATGTTAAATTACCTGAACAACATCTTGAATAAATAGTTCTGTATTCTTGTAAAGCTTAGGGTAGTCCTGTCGCGATAAACAATAAATCAATTAATCACATGATAAATGAAAATTATCGACCTCATTTTAGTTTAGCGGCTTTATCGTTCCTTCGTGTCCCTCTCGTTCTACTGAAGACACTGGATGACAAAAGGCTCAACTCTGGTGCTCTTCACTGACCGCTCCCTTTCTCTTTAAAATCTATTTTAACGATCCAAAATCATGTTTTTGGATCGTTAAAAGCAGCTAAGCTACGAGCTAAGCTAACAGGCTGACCTCGGGAATAAACTTCCGTCTTGTCAAAGCTCCAAAATTCACGGTTAAAACCTGTGCCTTCGTCTAAAAAGTTGTTTTTCTCTGCAAAAAGTAGCTGAGAACTTGTTTACTGATTTTTTTTTATTTATTAAAAGCTTTGTGTGATAAGTGCTATGCTAAAGAGCTCAACCCACACCGAGTGTCCACCATTTTCAGAACTGAATAAAAGGAAGGAGAGACGGCCCATGTCACGTCAAGGGGCCTCCCTCCCATTTTTCTTAAAGAGACACGCTGCTCGCTCCCTCACTGTCCATCCTTCGGTTCAAACAGTTTTCTACTTCAATCCAGTGTCAAAATAAAAGGTACTACACACAAAAATTTACCAAACTTTCTTCTTAAATTTTTATAAGAATTACTAATTATTGTCAAATTTCAAACAATATTATCATTTATTTCAATAATTTCTGAGAAAATTAATCGTCCATCAAAATTTGTTATCGTGACACGCCTAGCTTCGGGCACTCTTTCTATCTAATTAGAATGACTTTGTACGTCAGGTTTGTAAGATCCTTGATTGATTATTTTATTCCGTTTTCTCAGTGAGCAGTAATTTGATGTAAAACGTGGTGTTGAATGTCTGTATAATTAAGGAAAACTGTTTGAAATAAGAGAATTGTCTTCAAACATCCATCAGTGCAAAGATGTGAAGCAGCTAGGATCTTTTCTGTACCATTTACTGTTCAGCAGACTGAATGTTTGGAGCCACCAGTGGACATTTGAAATCTGGTTGTCCAGTCAAATACTGGATCTTAGAGACACATGGACCCAACAAGCCAAATGTTGTTCTGAGGGAGAGTCTGAGCTCCTCTGTGAGTTTAATAAAAAGAGAAAGATCAGCGCTGTGCTCCAACAATCAAGCAATTTTAACAAATCAGTCTGAGAGAAGCTTTTTCTCAGTATAAGTGAGGAACAAGTGAAATCTCAAGAAGAATGGGGAGGGAGTGGTAAAGTTAATCTGCAGGATTTAGTGCAAATCCAAGTTGCTGCTTTATAACCTTTATCCTGATCTTTGCATTCAAATACTTGATGTAGTATATGTACATCCACACAAAAGCTGTCCATGACCTACATCATGTCCTGTTCTCTAACCTGGAGCTTCATCTTTTGCTACGAGAACATGCTCGCCACACGGTTCTCTGCTGCTGTGAACATTTCTGGTTTGGGTGGTCCAGAGTGAAAATGACACAAGACCTTCATTGTTCATCCACAATTCTGTTTGTGTGAGTAAAAACAGACATAACCAAATTCTGATGGCAGCATCAATATTTAAAGTTGTTTTTAAATCAAGATGAACTGAAATAGTGATTAAATTAGAGGCAAAGAATCAAAACAATGTTTTCTTTAGTGAGGTTTAAAATTTGACATATTGTAGTAAAATAATCAGAACGTGATCGAATTTATTAAAACTGAAGGATAGATTGATATAAATGGAGTTAAAGTAGATCAGATAAATGAATTTAAACCTTTTCCACCTCCTCTGTCTAATAAAAGGTAAACCCAAACAAACTGAGGTGAATTGTGAGCAGTGTTGGTTAGCAGGTTTGAATCTTGGCTGTTCGCATGCATTTTTTTATTTATTTTCATTTTCTGTGCATGTGTGTGGGTTTTTTTTTCTGCAGGTGCTCCAGATCCTTTTTACAACCCTGACAGCTGGAATAGGCACCGCGACTGTGCAGTGACACTCTCAATCCTGTCTGGTTTAACTTCAGTGTTTCTACCAAGAACAGGTGGAGAAACTTTTCAAAGTAACGTGCGTCAAACTTACAGGACGATTGCTAAAAAGACCTATAATCTGATTTTATTATTATTAAAAACATCTTTCAGATATTTCTTGTTTGTAAACTGCGTAAATAGATTTGTTTGTTCACGGCTGGAGTGCAAAGTGTCGGGCACTGAGCATAATTGATGTCACAAAAGTAAAAAGATAAAAACAATACTTTATGCACGATTCTTTTCACAGCTTTGTTACCACGAGTGCTTTAATTGCACAGTGATAATGTTATGCTTTTGACACTTAATAACCAAAAATTCTTGCTTTTATGAACAGTTTTGATGCGACAACGTACAACCCTGAACCCCTTATAGATTAAAAATAACCGATAGCATTGTCATCCTTTGACACACTCGTTTAAAAACAAAGCAAACTGCATTTTCCCAGCAGCCACAAGAACGACTTACAGTCCGGTGACGCTTCAGTGACGGGCCTGCAGCACAGAACCGTTCACACAAACAAGCGTACGAGAGGAATGCAGCTAGACGAAACTTTTAGCAACGCAACCAGGAATACATAAGAAAGGCCAGACGAGGACGTGCTTCAGCGCTGTGTCACACAGGAACACACACACATGCAGCTGATTGAAAAAATATACATGCATTTGTAGGAAAGTGTGTGAAAGAGAGTCGACAACTGCACAAACGTGTTCTGCGCACAAGGAACAAACACACGGCCCACTTTACAATTCAAATAAGAGGAAAATAATCGAAAGGCCCTTTGACGTAAAAATCAAAAACACTCACGTGCAGTAAAATAATCAGCATTTTTTAGAAACGGTCTCATTTCTTTCACATTTGAATGGCACGTTATGAGTGTGTATGAGTGGGTGGGTGGCTGGGGGTGGGGTGAAGGGTGGGGGGAGTGTACATGTGCCTGAATCACTGAGAGCACACACAGCATTACATCTCTAGGTAATTGGATCTGAGCACAACATGTCGACACTGGCAGCCAATCAAACATTTTTTTTTTTCAATTTCCCTGCCAACATTAAAATCCCTCTGCAATATAAATCAGAAGCTCACAGCGTGCACACTCACACACTCACACACACACACACACACATTCAGACTTGTGCTGCTTGATGTTATATTTAAAGATACAAGAAAGACACAATTTTATCTCCCTGTAATCGGCTTGTCATCGCTCAGACACACTAAAAGGAGCAGCAAGATGCAAACACAGGCGAAGGCGAGATGCTAACGGAGGGAAATTAAACTAAACTAAACGCAGTTTGCTGATCTGAGGCCAGCAAGAACATCACTTTAAATGAAACACACACAAAGACATGAATTAAAGCCACTGCCTTTAATATCCTGCCTTTTGTGTTGGCTTTATGTTTTATCTTTCAGTCTATTGTTGGAGCTGTTTTCTTTCTCTGACACACACCCACACACACACTGTAAGGTCTATCACTGTTTGAATCATGAGACAGAAGCAGCAGCAACAGCTCAAACTTACCTCCTGCAGACAAAAGTTCAATGTTTGCAATGTTACGTCAAAAAGGAACAAAGAAAGGCAAAGAGGAGGAGAGACTTGTGTGTGAAAGAGAGAAAGCAGAAAGAAAGGTTTTAGGGCTAACTTTATTTTAGGGAAAGTGATAAAAATGAGGAATAACGCTGAGAGTGTGTACCAGCCGACCTGTTGGTGCTGCACTTGTTGCAGACTTAGTTTGAGAAGACACAAACGAGACGGGGACAGGATCCTACCTGGAGCTGTTCGGACAATGTGGTGGACTGTCTGGCACTCAGAGCTGGAGCTGGACTCTCCTCTGGACGCAGGAACACTTGCTGACCACGTCTGCAAACACCAGAACACATCATCAGCACATCCTGTTGTCCGTCTGTATGTTATCAGCTGTGCTGTTGAAAGTCTGAGTGATAAACTGCATTTTCACACACACACATTCAACTATCTATCTGAGTGCAGGAATTTAAAGGTGTGTGTGTGTGAGTGTTCACGTGTGCGAAGTCCTTACAGGTCCTTTGCTTTCTTTTTCTCAAGCGCAGTCATGTCATCTCCACCTATCGTACGCAGGGAGAGCGCTGGAGTCACACACACATGCACACACACTCTGACAGCTGCACAGCAATGCGCTCGCGCTCGCCGGCAGGCTGAGGCACACACTGGCGTGCTGACACCACGAGCAGCAGCACATAGCGCTGATAGTGAGCTCAGTCCCTCCTCTTCTCTCCTCCCACTGCTCTCTCTCTCTCTCTCTCACGGTCTGCTCATCCACTGGGTCTTACCACCTCCTTTAGCCCTCCCCACATCACCTCCTCGCTGACAGCACATCAGATGGAGAACACTGAAGGCGCACACCATATGGACCCACTTGCAAGATTTATTTCTGAGTACAAATTTCGAAAGGGGTCCTCAAAACTGTAGTTACGTTGAATGCAGAAAACCTATCAATATTTAAATGGATTATACTTCCCAACTTTTACGTGCCAGAGTTTTCAACTAAAATTATAATGGTACCACTTTACATTCAGGCTCCCCTTATAGATGGCTAATAGTTTATAGGTATGTTATTAATTCCTCTATACACACTTTATAAATCATTAATAACTGCTTATTACGCATTAATTGAAAGTGACAGACAAAACTGACCAGTTTCTTGCCAAATAGTGAACCAGATCTATTCATCTATACATTTCATCTAGAGTTGTTATATTAAACATTTCAGACTAAGTTACTTCCTTGAAAGCACAATAAGGATTTGTAAACCTCATTTTTTTAGGATATAATATTAATTGTAGATGCATTTAATTAGGGATGCACAATATTATCGGCACGGTATCGGCCAATATTAATAATAAAACTAAGAAGTGGACATCGGCCATTCCATCAAAATAACTCACCGATATAAAAGGCGCTGTTTTTTATATATATTATATATTAAATCATTTTCAGCCCCCTTTTTGGCATCTGCATTTTGGTAGCAGGTCAAATTGACAAAGACCATGCAGAATAATGTAGTATTTTAATTCTACAGCAGAGAAAGTTATGTAGTCAAGTAGGTCTATTAAAAATATATATTGGTATTGGTATCAGATATCGGCCAAATAAGTTTTAACATATCGGATATCAGCCAAAAATTCAATATCGTGCATCCGTACTTTTAATCCAGCGATAAAGTACAATATTATATGCTAAAGAAATATGTTTACAAATGCTTGATGTGCTAACAAGGTAGTAACTTAGACTGAAATGTTTAATATAACAACTCTAGATGAAATGAACAGATCTGGCTCACTATTTGGTAAGAAACTGGTCAGTTTTGTCTCTGTCACCCTTAATTTATGCATAATAAACAGTTATTAATGATTTATAGTGTTTATAGAGGAATTAATAACATCTATAAACTCTTTATTAGTCATCTATAATGGGAGCCTTATTGTAAAGTGGTACCATAATTATATGGTAAGGAGGAGCAGAGAAATAACCGTTTTGGTCCAACCTTGCACATGACGTTATGTGCAGTCCTTGTGAGAATTTGTGAGATTTGTTCATCTTTGGCAGCGAAGTGGAGCAGTGGTTAGAACTGTCACCCCTCAGTGAGAAGGTTGCAGGTTTGCCTCCTGACTTTTCTGGGTGGAGTTTGCATGTTCTCCACATGCAGGCATGTTTGGGGCAGGGTACTCCAGCATCTTAACACTGAACAAAAACATAAATGTTAAGTAAATTAGTAATTCTAAATTGACCCCAGTGATTGGCTGTTTGTCTCGTTTGTCTCTATGTGATGGACTGGTGACATGTCCAGGGTGTACCCAACCTGACAGACATCAGCAACCCCATGACCCAGAAAGGAGATACAAGGGGTTAAAAGGAAGTAAATGACAAGATTGCTATAGTGCTTGATTGATGATTATGAAGATGATGCTCAGCTACTACCAAGCTGTGGCAACCATTTTGAATTGGACTAACTCGAAAAGGCACTGAGTTGTAGATGTACACCCCGCTTTTACTTTCTGAAGGTTTCAGTAAAATATATTTAGTAACAGTTAGAGTAAGATGTAAGATGAGTCTGTGGTTAAGATGACCCACCGCCTGTACCTTTGCAGATATACTTGACTTTGGTTATGTGACCCCTCCTGCACGTGGAAGCCATCTTTGCTATCACTGTAAAAGGCAGGACAACATGAGAACAAAGGTAAGATTTTTATCCACCAAAAAAAAAAAAATCTTGGTCAATGTAATTTTTTTGATTTTCATGTGCAATGAATGTTACATCAAGGTTAATTTGTTTTAACGCAGTGTTATGCATGGTACATGTTGGTGGTTTCCCAGCCTACAAAATCATGTAAAGGATTTTGCTAAAGAATTAACCTTTCTAGCTAAACTGTACCATTTTTTCCGAAGTGGTGGTTATGGAGCAAAGTGTGCCAAAGACTGTGGGTTAAATTGAACCACTGCACCCCTGGTAAACATTATTATTATCTTGTTGTAAATTATGTGTGTCTGTCATATTTTACACACTTTAGAAGAGCTTTTATGCCAATAATTTACAAGAGAAGAACCAATTAGGGTTCAAAACCTTTGGAAGAGATGGAGCAGTCACTGATGTTTAGGATGGAAAATTAAAACCCATAAAACCCAATGAATCCAATCCGCTACTTAGACTACAAGCATGTCTTAAAAACAAAAACCTGGATGACGCTTAATTTTCTCCTATTGAACACAGACAAGACTGAGGTTTTAGTTTTTAAACATGAGCATTTTAGGGATTAATTTTTCAGTCTTTCTCCCTCCTTAGATGGCATTAATCTGTCCTCCAGCTCTAATGTTAAAAATCTTGGTGTTATTTTTGATCAGGACATGTCTTTTATCACCCACATTAAAAACGTTACTAGAACTGCCTTCTTCCACCTGCGTAATATCACTAAAATTAAAAACATCTTATCTAAAAATAATGCAGGTTCATGCATTTGTCACGTCTAAACTGGACTATTGCAATGGTTTATTATCTGGGTGTCCAAATACTTATTTAAAACGTCTTCAGTTGATCCAAAATGCTGCTGCCAGAGTCTTAACTGGAGTTAGTGGGAGAGTTCATATTTCTCCAGTTTTAGCTTCTCTCCATTGGCTCCCTGTCAAATCCAGAATATAATTCAAAATCTTACTTCTAACATACAAAGCTCTCTTAACAGAGCACTTCGCTGTCAGGCTGCAGGTTTATTCGCTGTTCCTAGAATTTACAAAAACAGAATGGGAGGAAGATCTTTCAGTTATCAGGCTCCTCTCTTGTGGAACCAACTTCCAGTTTCTGTCCGTGAGGCTGACACATTGTCCAGTTTTAAAACTGGACTCAAGACTTTCCTTTTTGATAAATCCTATAGTTAGGGTCGGCTTGGGTTTCCTGAGCTGTCCCTTAGTTATGCTGCTATAGGCTTAGACTGCTGGAGGACAAACTGACCACAATTTTCACTCTGCTACTGTCTTTACTTACTCTGCTCAACCTGTTTTGTATTTGTAATTATTTTTCTATCCTAGCATGTGTTTTTTGTCTTTCAGATACACCTGGACCTATACCTGGACCTGCCATTCCACATTGCTGGATGTGTCAGCAATGACCTCACAGAATCTCTCTTCTGGATTCAGTTCAACAGGAATTTTTCCTTTCAACCAAGATATATTTGCTGATGATGAGTTTGGGCCAAACCCTGATCCACCCTGAATATGATCCATCTTCAAAGTCCACCTGTGCTGAGGTATCTTCACAGGGATGCTCTTCAGCATGCAGAGCACATAACTCCCCACTCCAGTAGATATGTGTCTCTCTCCTCCAGAAATTCTTCCCTTACCCAAAAACCAGAAGCCCAGGGCAAAGCAAATGAGACAGCAGGTGAAGATGAGAATCCTGACTGACACACCTGAATAGCATGCAATCAAAATAGCACATGCAAAAAGAAGAAAATGCAAGATGAAAGAATTGTCCAATGTCAAAGACCCAGCAAAGTGAAAGAAGGCACAAACCCAGTATACAGCATCTCTGAGGAGAGTGACGTTTCCATTCCGCTTGATGACACTTCAGAGGATGAGAACTTAGGAGATGACAGTGAACATGGCAACACTGATCTCTCAGATGGTGATTTGGTCACTGTAAAGCTTGCAGCCAAATGCAAGAAACACTGTTACACTGGTTTGATTGAGAACTTTGAACACATTGAAGTGACTGCAAGATTTCTCAGAATACATGGAAGTAGTGGCAGAGAGAAGTCCACCTTCATATTCAAAGAGAATGATGCGGGATTCATTCCACTGGGTGATGTGCTGAGAAAGCTTCCTAAACCTCTGAATGTTGGAGGTACTGCAACGAGGCAGCAGAAACATCTCCCTGCAAACTTGATCTGTAGATGTTGATGCTGAAGTTCAACCTTCTAAATACTCACAAGTTCAAAAATGTGACTGTTCCTCAAAAAATAAAGTTGCAAATGAACATATTTCAACGAGTACTGTTTCACTGTTTAACTAAGTTATGATTATTTTCCCCCCATTTTTGGCTACATCATGATGACTGGCTCATCAAAATCATCTTGAGTTGTAACATTACTTCAAAGTTATTATTCAGTAGTGGAACATAAAATAAAATCTAACTTTACTAAGCTGATTTTGTGTTGTTTCAGGTGACTACTGTTTAAATGGATTTGCCTAAAAAAAGTGTTTCATGTCATTGTAAAACTGGGAAAGGAAGAAAGATCTATTTACCCTCTGAGATGGATTCATTTACTCCATGCCTGGGTCAAACTGAGCCACTGGAGCACCATTTTGTCACATATTTCTAGAGCTGTTTGTTATAGATTTGATTTTATAACTGATGTTTTTAGGCTAAAGCCCAAATACCCATAAGAGTGTGTGCTTTCATTGTACTCCCGTGTCATTTCATCTCACCTGTAGAACAAAAATAAGTAAAACGTGGTTTATCTTCACTTGCCCTTATGTATTGGGAAGGACTCACAATTACCTGCTACACACTAAAAATGGTTGAATTGAAGCTATGCTTACAATTTAACTTCAAAAGTTAATAAAATAATTTGCCTTT